GCACCCGGCGCTCCAGGAGGTGCAGGAACAGCTGCGGGATGGCGAGGCGATCTTCGCGTATCTCGACGACACGTATATTATCGCCCTGCCGGAGCGGATACGCGAACTCTACGAGGCGTACAGACGTGCGTTGTGGGCGCATTCACGTGTCGAACTCAACAGTCGCAAGACACGTGTGTGGAACGCGGCAGGCGAGGAACCGCCTGGGCTGTCAGCGTTGCAGGGGGAAGCTGACACCGCAATCTGGGCGGGGGACTGGACGCTCCCGCCGCAGCAGCAAGGGCTCACGGTCCTTGGCACCCCCTTGGGCAGCGACGAATACGTGCGTCTGCGGCTCGCGCAAAAGCGCGAGGAGCACGATCGCCTGCTCCAACGAGTCCCGCTCGTGAAGGACTTGCAGGCTGCCTGGTTGCTGCTGCACTACTGCGCCGCCCCGCGGGCCAACTACCTTCTTCGCGCTCTGCCGCCCGCCGCGACGGCCGAGTATGCTGCCTCTCACGACTCCGCTGTGACTCGCTGCCTCGCCACGCTCCTGGGCCATGCGGACGCACCGCTGCCCCACCAGTCGGAGCGAGCGGCGCACTTGCCACTACGCTTTGGCGGCATGGGCCTGCGAGAGGCCACGGCGGACCACCATGCTGCGTACTGGGCCTCCTGGATGGACAGCCTCCCCGTCATCCAGGCGCGCTTGCCCTCGGCAGCTAACCGTTTGCTGCTTTCCCTCCGCTTGCCCTCCATACTCGCCGCCACACAAGCCGCAACATACCTTGCTGGACAGGGCTACGCAGTGCCGGCGTGGGATGACGCGCACTCTGCCCCGCCTGGTCCGTCCCCGCAACGACGAGCCGGCCGGGACCCTCCGGGGCTGGCAGCGTGGGGCCGCCCATTTTTGCGATGAGCGCGCGCTTGAGACGCACCTTGCTGATCTTTCACCTGCGTCCCGAGCGCTGCTGCTGTCACAAGCTGGACCGCACGCTGCGAGAGTCTTCACAGTTTTGCCCACGTCGGACGTCGTGGCCGTGCCTGACCCGCACTTCCGCGTCCTGCTCTTGCGGCGACTCCGCCTGCCCCTTCCCCTCGGTCCACGCGCCTGCTCCTGCCGGGGCTTCCTTGACGAGTATGGAGATCACCGCGCCGCCTGCTCCAACTCTGGCGTCCTTGCATCCCGCGCACTGCCCCTTGAACGCGCTGTAGCCCGGGTTTGCCAGGAGGCCGGCGTGCGTGTCGGGCGCAACGTCGCCTTGTCGGCCATGAACCTCGACGTGCCTGTCCACGACGCACGGCGCATCGAAGTCGTGTGCAACGGCCTGAACTTGTGGCACGGCGCGCAGCTCGCAGTCGATGCGACCCTCGTCAGCCCTGTGACGCGCGAGGGGCTGCCGCAAGCCGGGGCTGCCACCCACCCTGGCAGTGCCTTGCGCAACGCTGCGCGCCGCAAGCGGCGGCAAACTTATCCCGAACTTGTCGTCGTTTTCGGGCTTGAAGTCGGGGGGCGCTGGGACTCTGAAGCTGCCACCTTCGTGCGCCTCCTTGCTCGTGCGTGGGCGGCCAGCACCCCCTCCGCGTTGAGGGCTTCTGCCCAGGCTGCTTGGGTCCTCCGGTGGAGTGGCATCATTTCCGTCGCTGCGCAGAGCGCGCTTGCGGCTACCTTCCTCGAGCTCCCCGTCCCGTCTGAGCCCTGTGCTGCTGGCACACCCCCAGCCTTGCACGAGGTTCTGGCTGACGCGCGCTGGAGCGAGAGCGAGGTCCCGGCACCAAGCCGTCTGCCCAGCCGGGCCTAGGTCCCTTCCCCGGGCCCTCGAAGGGGACCCGAGGACTCGACCGTCCCGACCCTGACTGCGGCGGACGCAAAAAGGCGCGGGAAAAAAAAAAAAAAAACAAACCCAGGTGGACGACGACGACGACCATCGGGCCCCCATTGCGAGTGGTGTGGGCAGAGCCACGGTATGAGCCACCCGCAAGGGTGTGCTGTTTGGGCAAAGCGTGGATCGCAAGGAGATGTAACAGGAAGTCGGTGCTCGCCATGCAGCGGATGACAATGTTGAAGAAGACTGCCAATGGACCAGCGCTGGTACAATGGGCAGCTCCACCAGCTTTGCCCGCTCAGGCTGAGCGACCTCGCGAATCACAAGGGCCCATCGAAGTCCCACCATGGCAGCCTCAAGCTGATGTCCAAGCTTCTCCGAGGACACGCAAACGAGTGGTACGGCCTTACCTTCGACGCTGCGCTGTATGTCGATCTTGACTTGTTGGCCAAGTTCAACGAGATCACGAAGTCGAAGTGGGGCGTACGCCAGGCGCTACGAATGACCGCTCAGGACAAAAAGGGCCGGTTCGAGATGTTCGCCTCGGCTTCCTGCCGAGAAGCGTCTGGAACAAGCAAACCCGGATCGGGCCTCCTTTCCCTGCGAAATTTTCTGACGCCACCCCCCTCCCCCCCCGCCCTGTGGGATCCCCCAATCGCTTGAAGGAGCTGCAAACCGATGCCGTTGAGGGTCCCGCCTGTACAGGGGGAGTGCCTCAAAACCCCCCGTCCCCCCGCCCCTCCCCCCCACCCCCCCCCCCCCCCCCCCCCCGCGCCACCCCCCCCGCCACCCCCCCCCACACCCCCACCCTCACCCCTCTGCCCTTCCTCCCCTTTTTTTGCGAAACCCTCTTTCCTCCTTTCCTGTCCTGGGCCGGCCCGGCTGCCGAGGCGGCGCGCGCAAGCGTTTACAATTAAGGATCGATGTGCCGATCAAAGAGAGCTTGAACATCCCACCGTTTCCGGTCATGATCCGAATCAGCGGAGGCCACTCCAAAAAGGTATTGAAGCCCAGCTCGGATCAATACTTGGCACAGAGGTGGTACTTTGTGGACGACCTCGAGAACGTGCCGCAGATCCTCTATCATCGCACCAAGAAGCATAAATGTGGAGAAGATCTTGAAGCAAGGCTTCAGGCCGGCCGGCGGCCGTTCAGGGGGCGAGCCCACTCCTACTTTTCCCCAACGCAGCTGAGTGACGAGCACTACACCGGCGCCTTGAGATCTGAGCCCCCGATCCAATTTGCAGTCGATTGCCATGCTGCAGTGCGAGAAGGGGTATTCTTCTTTGAGACCAGCAGCCGAGGCACGCTCACGAGGCAGATTGTTCCGGCGTCATGCATCATTTCGTGCACCGACACCAAGACGGGCGAGATCATTTTCGCCCGGGTCGAGAACGTGGATGCAACATCGACGGAGTGTGCCGAGCAGTTCCTCGCTGCGCCCTCTCCGAGGGCTGTTTCTCAGTTCCTGGCAAAGGAAGAGGAGTCGAGGGCATCGTCAAGCACCCCCAAAGTTTCGGTTGGCCGCGTTGTGGAAGCCAAGAGGGCCAAGGTGGAGAGCGTCAAGATGGAAAGTGGCTACCCCGGTGCCGAGGATACCGAGATGGTAGACTTGGTAGTTGAGGTAGACACCAGCGAGCCCGAAGAGGAGAGCATGACCGCTCCCCCAGGTTCCACGTGGATCGCAAGGCAATGGAGAACCTCAGCATCCGTCGACCGACACTGGCGGCATTGTCCCTTCCCGCGGATAAATCTTTGACAGAGATCCGGAAGGTGGCGGAGGAACACTCCAAGACGCGAGGTTCCTGATCCTTTGAAGCCGCCGTCATTCGGGACGCGAAGGGTCGACCAGTTCAATAGGGCCAGGAAGCTCAATGTACGGCGCCGTCGCCGAAGGTTCGACAAGAATGCCCGCTTCCAGTGGAGAATGGCCCAAGCTGGAAAAGCCCTCGACGACATGCTTCGCATCGACTGCCGGGCCAAAGCGTTCCTCCCTGATCCAGGACGCACAGAAGAGCAGCGCTTGCTCAAGGCCGGGAGCAACTACCTTAGAGGTAATAAGCCCGGCGGCGTCCCTGGTAAGCTCGTTTATCACGTTGACTTGTCCGTCGAGGAGCTGAGGGAAGACAGGCTGGTCGACTGCGCGCCACTGGCTTGTGCTACATGGGTCATGGGCTACCTGAGGTACGCGGAGATCGCCCTCCACCAGAAGTTCGCAAGAACTATCTACACTTTTGGTGGCCAAGCCGAGCTGCAAGGACGCACGAAGGATGAGATCGTGGCGGAGCTCCAGGAGCTGGTCCATGCCAACATATGCCAACCACGCAGTTGCCCGTCGGCAATCTGATCGCACCCAGTGGTATGCCGACAAAAATCGGGCCCTCGCCAAGAGCCATGCGGCGGCAGCGAAGCGAGCGCCGACTCCTCCATGGAGATCGGAGCAAGGCCAGGACGACTGGGGCAGCAGCTGGTGGTGGTCTGAAGGGTGGAGTAATTCATCCTGGAGCCGTGGCTGGCAGTGGCAAAGCCGCTAAAGCCAGTAGGTATCGTTGTGCGCTCTTTCTTTTGAGCAGGTTTCCTGTAGCCGCGAGCTGGCTCATTGTGGACAACACAAGCCACCCGCGAGGGTGTGCCGAAATCTCTGTCCACCTTAGTGCTCGGCTGCACACGGTGAGGGGGGTGTAGATTTGCACCTGCATTTTGGCATTGTTCTGAGTGCACATAGTACCTGCTACGATTGGCTCAAGTTCGCGATAAGAAGGAGCGATACTTAACGGTGTAACTTCCCGTCTGTGTGCTGACTTGATAACTTTACTCGCTGAGGAGCGACGCGTCTGCCACCCTGTCCTTTGTGGCCGCAGGAGCGCCCGCGAGTTTTCTCTCACTGCCCCTTGCTGATGATGGGGGACCTCCTTGGCGCTGGCTCTGAAGAAGCCCGTCCCGCATTCCCGAGCCGCTTGCCTCTCCGCGCTTGAAGGGCCCTGGGCCTGCGTTCTCCCCACCCCTCCCGCGGGACCGCGGACCATCGTGCAGCAGGAAAAGGAGCGAGAAAAGATCAGACCGTGGGATGGGCAGTATTAGCTTCCGGAAAAACGTAGCCATGTTTGTTTTTTGTCCTGCTGCTGCGTTGCCTATAACAGCCCTCATGTCTGTTGCTTGTGGTGGTGACATTTGGCAGCGGCATGGTTGCCACAGGACCCACGGACTGCATGTTGGGCAAGTGCTTGTGCAAAGATGGTTATTGTGCTCGCACGGGCCTTAGTTCAAAGTGGTTGCTGCCTTCCGGCAGCACAACAACGTCTGTTGATGAAAGGGCACGACTCAGATGGTGTCTTGCTCCATTTCCTGTCTAAGATGGCGATATGTGCAAGCCGCAGGTGGGTCTGATATGGTCGGATGTTCTTCGTGACATTGCGTTATTGCATGTGCACACCCCATGGAGGTTTGTTTCGCAGGCGCCGCTCCGGCCTCAGCATTGTGTTGTGGGGCGTCGGTGTGGCGACGGCTCACAGGCCAATCAACTAGGCCTGTGTTTCCACAATGGGCTTGATCTGATTTGGTTGCATTTCGGCTGAGGCATAGACTCAATAGAGGTTCGTTCCGCGAGTATCAACCCGTGCTGGTGCTCGTAGCATGGCATTGCGGTGTCCTGGCGTCAGTGCTGCTGTAGACCTGCCACCCATCAGTGGTGCCAAGATCGGTGTTTCGGCTCTGCAAGACCGTTCGTTTGCATCATGGGGGCAACAGCACTCAGCAAACAACTTCATGTTCGCTGCCGCCGGGGAATGCTTGCCTGGGGGAGCTGTGGAACCTCGTGTTCACAGGCGGCACTTGGCTACTTGTTTTGGAGTTGGAGAGGCAACAGCAAGCTTGCGAAGTGCTTCAGACTTCCTGTTTAATATTGATAGTGGAAAGGCGTGGGATCAGTTCCAGGAATTGTTCAAAACGCCGGCGGTCTTGGCCAAGTATGACAAAGACTTTGAGTACTGGGTTGCTGAAGCGACAGATGCCAACAACGATTTGGTACGGGCAAAGGATTTGCTGCAACAGGCGCTCCAGGATCAAGCCCCACAGCTTGAAGATGAGCAGACAGTGATAGATCAGGATTGATGCAGTTCAACCTGCACATTGACCCTCCGTTGTCACGACATCTCGCCACGCTTGGCATGTCGATGTGCCATGATGTGTGGAGCTTATGTTTCACCTATGCTTTCTGGCACATCTGGTTGTGTTGGGAAAACGGTTTGCCATTGAGCATACACGTTTTGTGTACCAGCACATTGGAGGTGAGGTAACCTCTAGATTGTGACAAGCATTGTGCGTGTCGCTCCGCATGAGGAACCGCCGCGATTCAGACCGGGTCGATGGCTTGCGTTCTTCAGTGGGATGAGCGACCTGGTCCGGATCCCAGCAACATGTTCTAGTGAGCTTCTTTAAACGCCAGCGGCTTGGGAGCAATGTTGAGACCACAGTGCCAAGGAACGGTTTCCGGAATATGATGAGCTGGCGGCTCATATATTCCGCGTTTTTGTGTCAAAGTGAATGGCTTCAAGAGATGCGTCCCACAACACCTGCTTGTACGCCGCACACGGTATTCAGGTTGCAGAGGGACTACATCCACCTCATCAAGAGGCTTGTTGCGTTTTGCTGTGGCAATGCACTGCGCTGGCATCTTTGGAGCTCCGCGGATCAAAAAATCAGGATTGCTCCCGTGCCCGTGCTTTTCCTACTGTTGGGCATCGTTGTGTCCATCACGACGTGTGCCCGGGACTTTTCTGAGCGTCGTTGCCTTTTACAAAAGAGCCGATGCGCGGCATCCAAGGCTTGTTTATTTTGTGGAGGTAGTGGTCGAAACCTGAGCAAAAACATGACAGGCGTGCAGGTGCCCATGACAGGGATTGTTGGTCGATGGCCGAGGCTACCACTACAGCATGGACTTCGCAGACATGAATCATGACAGTCCCTCATTTGCCTCATTTCCTGGAGTGTGAGAGGGGGGTTCGGGTTTTAGGGACGCAGCTGATGCAGTGGTGCTGCGCGTACAATCACCTGGGTCGAATTTGGACAGGATGACGTCAAAGGGTTTGTCTCAGGCTGGCTGGCAGATTCACCTAGTCTTGTGCTTGGTGACCACGAAATGTCACGAGGCAAAACTGGTCACACCGTAGTCGGAGATGAGGAGTTTGCCAAACGTGCATGGAAGCAAAGACCATCGTCGTCGCCTGATAGTCTGGAATGATGCGGCCGAGTGGTATGACGGCACATATCATCACATATGTTACACTACCCAAGCTTGTCCAGGTGTTTGCCCATGTTTTGCGTTGCGCTGCTGATTATACTGTTGTGCCTGCCTGGACCTCTGTGGAGTGGTGGAGCCTTCTTGCCCCTCACAGGAGGGTTACAGTGCTGTTAAGGATGCAAGTGTGCTAGTTCTGGCTGATGTGCATGCGTGACCATGACCTCATATGACCCAGATTTGGTGGGATCACCCGGATCGTCAACAGTGCTTGGACGGTGGCGTGCTGAGTCAATCTTGTGCATCGTGTAGCTGGCGGTGTTGTGACTGGCTGGCTTAGGAATACATAATCCTCTCATCTCTGGACAGAGCGCAGGAAGTGGAGTTCACTTTGTAGTCGGTCTATGACCTTTGTTTTGAATGGATCATGCAATGCAGGACAACGCAATCGAGATCGCCAATGCAAGTATGACAATCAATGACACAGTAGCAGCCTCAGGCTCAAGCCTGTGTCGACCTACATTTGTTGAGCTCACATGAGGTCACACACTTGCACGATAGCTTATTGGAGGCCTTCTGCATTTTGTGATTTCGCTTTGAACTGGTGAGCTTCAATGCGGCTTGAGCATGGGGCATACAGATTCCGATGACTTGCAAGACGGACAGCAAGCGTGCTGCTCAGTTCTTGTTGCGGGAGCGCATTAAGCCGAAGCTTGTGCTTAGAGATTCTTTTTCGAATTCAGAATTTCTCTAGTTTCGGGTCTGCAGTCGGCGCGCTGCATTGCGACAACGCATAGGTTTCGAAATTCCTTCTTTTTTGGCTGCTGCAGCCAAGGGCCGCCAAACAAGTCCTCTATACTTTCGTGCACAAAGCGCTTGGCCGATGCCTTGGATGGAAGATCCCACTTGCAGTCTTGCTCTATTATGGCAACAGCAGAGTTTCAAACCTTTTCCTTGTTCAAGGTGCTATTGAACAATATGTCGAGCAAGTGTACTTCATAGTCGGGACAGTGCCAGCCTCATGCTCCACATTGCCGTTGTTGTCGTTGGACCAAGCTGAAGACATCGCTAGCTGTCATCATCGCTGGTGATTCTGCCAAGCCTGCATGGTCGCAGATTCAACCCATTCCTGAGCAAATCGGGAAGTTCCAGGACTTAACGCACCGTTCGCAAGCCCAGTATGTGCGAACAGCACTGTGTTGCGCTGCGTTCAAATGTGTTGCTGTCTCCTTAGTCGTTTGCAGCATCCCGTTTACAACTGAGGCCTGAAACCCTGGTTTACAAAACTCCCACTCGCTCCGCTCTGGCTTGTGCCGGATCCCTGGCTGAGAACGCAGTCTTACAAGCAACCCGGCTGTACTTGCTCTAAGGGCGCTGATTTGTTCCCACCTTGGTGTAGATCATGTGAGTGTTGGCTTCTGTTCTGTGGCTAGCAGTCATTAACTCTGCAAGAAGGCCTTGGTATCGTCATCGAAGCGACGTGTACCACTTGTTGTGCTGGGCTCAGCATCGTGATGACTTATGCAGTTCCCTAGGGCACGGCACTGAACGGCACCGACATGAGCAAATGGACTGCTGAGGCAGAAGTAGCTCCATGGCCAAGTGCGTGGATTTGGGCTCGAAGCTTGGAGTGCTGGTAGTGTGCTGGTAGCATGGTGCTTTCCGCTCAGCAGTTCTTTGTTGTTTTGCAGGCAGAAGGGGGTACAATCAATGTATCAACATGCAGGACCCACAAGGAATTCAGTCTGTTGTTGGTTGCAGTCACAAGGTCTGAAGTTATCGGCCCTGTTGTTTGGGCTCATCGTGTTCGCCTCATGAACACGGTAGCATGGGAGCATGAACGGCGGACAGGCGAGGCTTGCGCGCGACTTGCTGCTCAGGTGATGGTCGTGGCAGTGTTGGTTTTCGTGGAGACAAGCATTCTCATAGTACTTAGCCAGGGCCACATGGCAGTCGGTTCGCGGGGTACGTGGTTGCTTTTTCGACTTCGCATGAACTGATCCCTTCCCAGGCAAATTCTGCGAGGATGTGGACCACAATGTCTTGGCTTATGTCAATGCTACAACGTCTGGTACCTGGTAAGCACTTGTTTTGGTCTTTGGCTTGAACCGTGCTACTCGGCATCCAAATATTAGGACCAACATCTCTTACATCATTCCAGAAATTGCCAACTACTACATCCGTGTGGCGCTCGAGCTGCTGGCAACTGCTAGTTAATGAGATGTTTCAAAGCAATGGCAACTTCTAGAGCCAACTCATAAGAACTATGCCTTCAGGTGGTGGCTCTGCGAACCCCATCGATGAGTCGATCGCCCAGCCGCCTTCAGCGTGTCTGCATCGTTGCAGCCAAGAGCACAACGGTTTTCGTGCAACTAGGTATGACACCCTGGCGATGAAGTACATTAACCAGATTCAGGACTACTACAATCAGGCATCATGTGGACAAGACGTCCTCAAGCACGGACAAGCCTAAGCCACACTAAGCGAACATTGAGCTCCAAGTTTGCTGTTTCTTGTGTGCATCTTGTGCAGTCCATCCTGCAGGCATCCATCGGTGTTGCGGCCTTGGGCATGGCTTGCGGCTCGCCACTGCAATGGAAGAGAGTGCCACAGAGTACCCTAAGCTAAGCCCCAAACTGTGAGCCGCTGGAAGCCACACCCAGGCCCGGCTTTCTTCGCCTTGGACGTGAATCAAATTGCAAAAGATGCTCGACACATCTTGGAGAGGCCGTCCCGAAACCGGTATTGCATCACTTGGCGGCTCCATCGCTCACTGCTAAGCTTCGTAGTGCCCCACAAATCAAGTTATGGGCTATCAGACAGTCCCCATGACGGAGTGTCACGAGGGGTTCCGGCAGCAAAGCCCACACAGCCAGTCATGCTCAAGGCATTGAGGTGAGGAGATCCGAAGACCGAAGTCTCAACTTGTTCGCAGGATTTAGGACCAGCCTCTTGGGCCAGTCCATCACAAGATCACAAGGGCCTTGGAAACGGTTGTTTGAGAGAATCAGGAGTGGGGGGGCTGAGCATGGAGGGCCTTCAAAGCTTGCAGGGCCAGGGGGCTGCTGAAGGGTGAGAACATCTACCCCTACTACAGGAAGGCGCTGCGAAACCTGAGCTATCATGTGCTTCCGTGGCCCTCAAGTTCTTTTCAGCCCTGCCGAAGTTCCAGCGTAGAGAGCATGCCAGGTCATTCGCACGGGAATTTGTGGCGTTGTCATCAGTGGTGTGGGCGCCCCGGTTCGACAAAATCACCATCCGATCTTCCGTACGTCTTCGCTGCTTCCTCGGTTTGACATGGAAGGGTGGCTAGTAACTAGTACGACAAGCTGTGTAGACAGGAGTGCCAAACATCAGGAGCTTTGAAAGGATGAAGCACGCAATGCTCCGAAGCGCTGCCAAGAGAGCGTTCCGTGGCATTGAATTCTACGAGTGAGTGGTCGCACGAGGTGGGGTGGATGTGGCTCCTGCAAGTACTTGTCGGACAGACTGGGCATAGCAAAGCTGTGACGCTGCACAAGTACCTTTCCCTGATTTCTTGGTGGCAGGACTGTTACTGCGGGTTCCTTATGGCTCGTTACGCGTTATGTGCTGTGATTGTTACCGTGTTCTCGGCAGCACTCTTGCTTCTGAGAAGGGGGGGATTTGTTCGATGCGAGCTGGCATTGATGTCGGACCGAGGTTTCCATTGTGTGCATGGGGCTCGGCTAGCCAGATGCAGTGTGCATGTGTCAGGTCTTTGAACCCAACCCCCCTGTGCCTGATGCACCATGTCGCCAGGCCATATTTACCCACAAATTTCTCGTGGATTGGGCAGCCTGGCAGAAGGTCAAAGAGGCTGCCGGCATTGGTATGTCGCACGAACATGGGCTGTCACATGCTGTCACCCTTCCATGCGACATGGAGGCCCGACGTGCCAAGAAAATGAGCGGTCAATATGTTCAGAGCGGTCACCCAGCACGGCTCGAAAGTCGCTGCAACATAGCGGGAAGCGAGAAACGGCTGCACGTGTTGGCACCCGTGTGACACATCCAGGTCGGATGACAGCAGTGACTCCGATGGTGCCAGCATAGTGAGTGAGACGACATCCGTGTCAGAAAGGAGCCCCATGATGGGAAAAGAGTTCTTACCAGCAGGGCCCTAATCGGCGCACTGCTGGCACAGAGCTTGTGAGGGCCCGCCGCGGACAAGACGTCTGTTGCGGGCGGTAAACCCGCAATCTTCACATACTAGTAAACAGCATTATCAGTTTCAGGGCCACTCCTCAAGACATGGTTGCCTTGCAGTTAATGAACTAGCTGTTTCAGCGTTGCTTGTTTCGGGCAGTGAGAAGATGGCGAAGCTTGGTTGCATGCGCTTGCCATCTTCTCTTCTTGTAAGCGTGGCACTCTTTCTTCGACCTGGATGCTTGGTGTTTCTACATCAGAGGTGAGGTAGGTGGGAAGGCGCCCGTCAACATGGGTGCTTTGCTTTCCCCTTTTTTCCACGGATGCTTTGGAACCTGGCCCCAAGCTGAGTCCCAGCTTGCCACTCTCTCTTCCTCTGTGTTGACTTCAAATCAGGTGCAGGTGACAGACTCACCTGCGCGGGGATCAAAGGCCCGGATGGTTTTTTTTTGCATGTGAAGACTTCCAGGGCTTCGAGGGTGCGGATCATGCAGCAAGCCAAGGTCATCCGATTATGGGTCTCTTTTGTTGCCGGTGCAGACGATCCAAGCGGTCAAGTCCTGAGCTGCACGCAGATCGCGCAACTCAACAAGCTATGTCTCCCATGATCGCCATGTCGATGATGGTAAGGTTCGTAGCTTCACCAGTGCCCGGCGAGGCAGTGACTTGTAAACGGAGCTTGCGGCACTGACAGCTTGATCTTGACCATATCCGGCTTCAGGACGTCATCATCCGGATGTGTCATCTGCCAAAACTTAGGTTCATGTTTGCGTCGTGTCATGCGCGCATGAGAGCTTCGATCTGAGGTGACAGCCCAAGAAACGGAGCTTGCCTGCTACTGAGTCACCACAAAAATTGCTTGTGTGGCAGGGAGGGCAAGATGGCAAGATGACCATCACATCGCCAAGGCGTGTCGTCTGCATCCACAGCGCCAACCGACAAGGCCGCGCTGCGTTGGCGCCTTTGCAAGATCTGGTAGACGGTTGATGCGATTCTCGCAGGACAGCAGTACCGGGCCAACACCTTGGACTTTGGCACCGCAGTCTTTCCGTCATTGCATGAAGCATCATGGAACAGCACTGGAAGGTCTGACTCACCCGGACAGGACCATCAGGAAGACTTCCAACTCTTGTGTGATGCTTGGTGCAGGAGATGCATGATGTGGCCTTCTAGCAGCACCTCCAGAGCATCACATTCACACGTTTCTGCTCAAAAGCCATTCAGGCTTCAGCTGCCAATTAGGTGCTGTAGTTGGGCTCGGGTGCCAGTACGATGCCCTCAAGAACCATGCGCGTGTCAGCTGGTTTATTCAGCTCAGTCTTGGCGCTGGGACTGGGAGCTTCAATGCTTCCGAGCAGTTTTGTTGGGCCAATCCGCCCACCTGCAGGCACGAACCTGGGAACTCAAAGAGCTCCTGGGCAAAGATTTGCAGACTCAGCGGGTCCAGCGGGACCAGTGTTGGGGCTTGCCATGGCCCTTGTCATTGCTGGCATCTCTACGACGCGATCACAGCCTCAGCGGCATCGAATCGTGCAACTGCGGGCAGAACCGGAAGCTAAAGAGGAGGTGGCCGATGCGCCAGCTGATGCAGCTGACGCCGAAGCCCAGGACCACTACTCCTCAACCCGAATCATCGGACGCAGACGGTCAAACTTAAGATGTTTTGTTCATCAGGCTGGCTCTTTTCTGCAGGAAGAGTCGCCAGATGCGGCCGGTGACGAAGAAGAAGCAGCAGAAGACGACGAAGAGGAAGCAGCTGCAGAAGAGTGCCTGGACTGCGACGACTTGGAGGGTTTTTTTTCTGCTCGCGTTCTCAAGGAGGGCTTGTTCCTTGTTCGTGATGCTCATGCTTGTCTTGCACTTCACTTGCAAGGAAGAAGCCCGCGAAATGGAAATGTCTTGATTGTGGCAGCATGTCCAAGCCCCAGATTGCAGCCTTGATCTCTTTAACCACTCCCCCAACCCCACATGCACAGATCGCTTGCAAGACCCCAACAAGCCTCGGCCATCTCAGCCCCTTCGGAGGAATTTCGCAGCCAGCACAGAGTGTGAGAAGTGCGGCGCTGCCAAGCCCTCGCCTGAAGAAGCCCAGATGGTTCAAGAGAGGGACCAGGCGCGCAGACCTCTTCATGTGTTTGGACCGCCTTTCTCACGGTGCAAGCTAGTGCAAGCATCCCAGGCAAAGGACGATGTTGCAAAGGTCATGGACGGCTTTCTCAGAATGCAGGCAAGCGATGAGCAAGGATATTGCTCGAAAGTGGTGAGTACTCCAGCAGCCGTCCCAGGCAGACTTGCAGAACTACCGCAGAAGCCATGATGAGGCACACATGCTGTCAAGTGCAAACAGCATCCTGCACGAATGTTGGCCAAGTGTGCACCTTTTTGAAGCAATTGTCCAGGCAATGGCTCGCGCAAGAGATCTTGGCAAAGTGGACTGCAGCTCTTTTGCTGTTGTTTCTCTTGTCTTGTGCTTATGATACATGACCTCGTGAACTGAAGTAGATGGATGGCAGCAGGATGCTCTGAAGAAACTCCTGCCAATTAACGATGATATTGAAGCTGCTGTATCTGATCCTGGAGGCATCTGCTTGTCAGATTGGGTCACGCCACGCACGGTCTAACCGTCGTAAGTCTTGACTGACGTTCGAAGAAGTTGGGCCCTCAAGTCAAACGGATCTACCGGCTCGTTCAGACACAAGGCATTGCTTTCCTTACAAGAGTTTCGCACACTAGCGCAATTCAGCTTCTGAGCCAACACTAGCTGCACACCCTCTCGATTCTTTTTACCGTGGCAAGGTGTTCCTCAAAGCCTGTCACCCATGCATTTCTGGGACGGTCCTTCGTGGCCCCCTATTCGCCGCACAAGCACTGCTGTAACTGTCCTCATCACCTCAACAACCCCGATGCATTCGACTGTTTGGAAATCATGTCCACAAAGCGATTAATATCGGGGTGTTGTCGAATCGTCGCAGACCCCATGTGGGCTGGCGAGTTGTGCGCATGGCCTCTTTTTTTACTTCAACCGTTTCGGCAGGCATGGATGACAAGGACAAGGCGCAGACAAGAAGTTGAAGCTGAGCCGACCACATTTTAAAGATTTGGCTGACTGCTTTTCTTCCTTCTTGGGCATGTCACAGGCAATATTTGATTCCTACTCCCTCCTCTTTCGGAAAGTTGGTGACGTTTGGACGAAGTTTGGAGTGAATACGAGCCTTCTTGGCATCAAGAGCGATGATCGGTTGTTATGTGCTGACGAGAATGTTCCGTACATTTGTGGATTTGTCTGAGGCTGACAGCTGCGGCAGGTGACAAGTATGATGAGAAATCTCATGAAGTCGTAGTGGGCATAGCGTTTCGCAAGGACGATGAGGTATGTGTCCGCTTTCGGAGAGTCAGCGAGTCAAACGTTGCTGCCCTTCCATTTTTGAGGTGGAGGAGCGGGAACCTACGGGTGATCAAGCGCCAGGCGCCATTATCGAGGTTGTGAAACTCAGCAGCGACATACTGTGCATGGTATGTCACATGACAGCTACACTGATGAACTGTGATGGAAGTAGGGTGGATGCAGTTCAGACCACAAAGTCCTGCTTTGTCCAAGGAAGCCCGGTTTCTCCTGCGACAGCAAAGTTGTGATTCCCCCTCAGGCACTGTTTTGAGAAATGGATACGTGACAGATGTAATTTCATATTCGCCGTCAAGAAGCAGTCACGTGCAGGTAGCTGAGCGCAATTGGCATCACACTTTCAACCAACCACTCAGTTTGGCAGGTAATCATTGCTGCCTCGTCTGCCAATGCTCCTGAAGAGGCAGCATTGAATGCTTTACACCACGTCAAGACGCCTTTTCCTGTTCTAAGTAGAGAAGTTCTGTCCAAGCTTACACGTTGTCAGTCATTGCCAGAGTGCAGGAGGCCGAGCAGGCTGAAGAGACTGAAGAGGCTCCCGAAGAAGCTTGTTCTACCCCATTACGTACGTCATCTCTTTCTAGAGTCCTGTTGATCCCTTTTTCGGCATGGCAAAATGTAGCCAAGGAGGCCGAAGCTGCTGCCTGACGCTGCTGATACCTTGCCTTTCCTTCTCCATATTAAGTTAGTATACAGCGATGCTGTCGCATTGCAAGGATGTGACATGTCTACCCAGAGCATGGTGGAGTTGTGCGCAAATCGTGTGCAGTTGAAGAATTCCTCCACATCATTTCAGCAGATGTGGCTGCAGGCTGCAACGCTCCCCATGTAATGGTCACTAGTGTGTACAAGCGAGTACTGTAGCCACTGTTTGCAAGCTACGGAGGCTATTCTACCAACGGTCGTCTCCTCCCATGCTTATTTGCACCACTAAGCTGTCGGGTGGCATCGTGTGCAGTCATCTAATGGTCTCCAGTCTTCGGCCTGCGGCTGCTTCTGGGTACTGCAGGAAGCCATGTGACAACAAACTTTCCTGGTTTTACGACATGCGAACCGCGAGGCTAAAAGCAGCCAAACAAGATGACCTCGCATGTGATGCATATCTTCATGCGTAGGAGGAGAGTGCACGAGCTTCAGCTGTCAAGATGGGCGGGCCGATCTTACTCCAAAGTTGGTGTGCTGTTTCGGCCCATCGTGTTCGCTGCTAGCCGCCCTTGCATGCCGCGTCACGCAGCGTGCTCCTCACAGGGTGGCAGAGGGTTTCGTGATTGAGGGTGACGGTCCGAGTTCGAGGCCCAAGAAGTTTGCGTACGAACGCCTGACTACCTTTGGCTGAGGCCGCATGCGCCGTTCTACTTAGCAATGCTGATAAGGCTGGCGTGTTTATGATGAGTGTGAAGCCATGGTCTTTGTCGTCTAGTTTATCCGCAAGTGGGGTCAATTGCTGGATTGTGAGGCTGTGTGTGTGGGCAGCTGTTCTGAGCACTTCCCGATGCACAAATGAGCCTCAGCTTCGCAGTGAGCCTGTGTCAGAGTTGTGTGGCATGGTTTTTTTGTCATGGCGCAAGCCCGCCGGTGCTCAGCATGAAAGCTGCTTCACGTGTCCGAGGTGTCCGTGAGCCTCACCTCCCCGGTGACGTCCGTGAACGTCAGCAGTGAGGTACTGTCCAAAGCGGGGATTGCGGCAGCTGCGGCTTCGGCAGCAGGAGCTACCGAGGAGGAGATCGTCCAAAGCGCTGCCATGACGGCAGGAACAGCAGCAGCAGAGGATGCTCGAACTGCGGGAAAGCCGGAGGTGACAGTGGAAGCAGAAGCTGCAAAGGCCGCCGAATCTGCGGCCGCAAGGGCAGGAGCGAGCACAAACGAGGCGGCAGAGGCAGGTGGGGAGGCAGCCGTGCTGGTGGCTGGACAGGCCTGGCACATGTGTGCAAGATTTCAGATTAGATTTCGCAGCTTGCAGAAGTGCAACAAGGCAACTGTCCTGACGCCTTCGTTAGCCGAAAATGCTTGGGCCATTGTAAATGGCACTCGGTGCCTTAACTGGTGGGGCATCTTGGCTGATAGGCCTGTTCTGGTGGCGGTGTGCTTGAGGGTATCAACTATGTCAACCATTCTGTGAAGATGAGGTGATGGTTGCGCTGCAATCACTGAACGCGAATCATGCTTGCAGTCTCGAGATGGAAGCGATGTTGCCGAGCAGCCTGGCACAAACCATATCTTTGGTCATGCAGCTTCGGCCGCAGTGGTATCATCTCTCTCGAGCCGACTCTGCTGAATGCCCAGGAGCAAGGGAGTCAAGGTATTCGGGCAGCCGTGTGTTTGGTGTGGCGGTGAGAGGTGTGGTGTCGGAAGCTCAGCTTTGCAAGCAGCACGTTAGCACCAGCAGGCTATGGGCTATGTTTGGCGACATTGCAAAGTCAGCTTTTCAGAGTCAACTTGCAGGCCACCAACACGCTCTGTGTGCCGTATGCTGCCCAGAACACCTTTCCTTCTGGCGCGGAGGTGGCATCCTGCGCAGGCAAGGCACGAACAGACCCCACGAGGGTCGAGTGATGGAACTGGTTCTTTTGAAACATGTTGAAGCGCATCTGCGATGTTGTAGCCCGAGGCCTTCCTGGGTTCGATGGCACATGTTCTGGTTAAGAGTGAAGAGCCGTCTGCATTCCAGCATGTCGGTCGGCAGCCCGTACGTGTTGCCTCATGACTGGCTGCAGGCAAAACCGGAGCGAGCATCCAGCCTGAATGGCTCCGTGCGAATATGTGCCTCCCATTTCCTCCCTGCGCTCTCTGAAATTCCTTTTTTGCGGGTAAGGCAAGACGTCTGCAGCCGCCCAGTGGATGGACATTCCGGATCCTGGGCTGAGAATAAGCTTTGCAACCAAGGTGTACTCGTATCTCATTGCCAGTGCGCTTCTGGAGAATGTGCAGGCTGAGCTGAAAGCCGGAGGTTTCCCACAGAGGGAGCTCTTCTTCGTGCCACATGACAGCATTTGACATTGACCAATGAGTTGACAGCATGCCGTGTAGCCGTGTAGCCGTGTAGTGATTCCGCGCCACTTGTGGATTCGGCCTCACTTGCAACCATGTCTAAAACCCTCGGGAGTGCAATGTGAAAACCAATGGTCCTGCCCTCCTATCTCTGCTTGACACCTCGCTTTGGCTCTCAACTCTGTCGAGAAAGATCATTTTCAAAGACCTGGCGTCTGGAGTGTAGGCTTTCTATTGACGACGGACTTGCATTGCCCGACACTGTTAGCTGTTAATCTGGCCACTCTGCCTGCTGGACCTGACCATTGCTTGCGCCTTCGCCTTGCCTGCCGTGCTCGAGTGGGAACCCTCAAAATTGGAAGCCCAGAGCCCTTGGCCTTGAGCTTGCATGTAAACAAAATCCGGGCCCCGGACCCGAAGCATAAATCCTGAGCCAAGTAAGAGGGCTCCCTAAGCCTCAAGCCCGGGGCCATAAGCCTCAGAGACGCGAAGCCCGAAGCCCCAAAGCCTAAGAAGCTTTGACTCCCGGCCTGTGGCCCACTCCTGAATCTTGATCCTCTAGGAATACGTGTGCTAGTTTTCCTTGCCGGGATCGTTGAGTGTGAGTATCGAACCCCTGAACCGCAGAGCGGTCATGGTCACGAAAGCATGGTACCAGGGAGGTAAGTGAGGCACCCCAGAACTAAGGGCGCACCGGAGGGAGAGACCTGTAGTCATTAATTGCTGCTGTTCTCGCATGGCTGTCGTCCAGGCCGAAGAAAAGTCAGACCGGGAAACAGGATCCGTCAGGCATTGGCTTTGCATGTCTTTCTTGACACGAATTTGTATTGCTGCAGCCATGTGAACAAAGCGTGGGCAGGTCTTGCTTGCCGGGGCTCATCAGATCAGGATGCCAGTTGCCAGCCTACTTTTTGTGATTTCAAGACATCAGCCGAAATGAAGAAGATATCAGATGATAGAGGGCTTCGTTTCGGCCAAGGCAATTTGGACCCGTCGAAGCGCTGCTGAGATGCACATGTGTGTTAAATTGAGTTGGCACCGCCACCTGTGCATGAGCTTTGCTTGCTGTGTTCAGAAAGACAAAGGAAATTATTATGCCACGTGGACAGCCTCCACGCTGAAAGAATGTTTTGACATCTGCAGCTGGAAGCAGGAATGCGGGCACGCAGTAGCGACATGTTCGCCGAGCCTAATATTGCCCAATGCAGGATTGCAGCGGTGTGGAGTTCGCTGAGAACCACTCGTACTGCGAAGTTCGGGTCCGAGCAGTGGAGCCGGCTGGGCGGGGTAATGGCTTTCACGTTTGCAACTCGTACGTGTTGCGTGTCTGAGAAGCTACTAACGAGTCTTGTTCGTCGTAGCAAGTTGAGGTGTGGAATGTTCCCATTCGCTTCACACAGCCAGTTGCCGGTTACCAGTGCTACCTTGCCTATCCACAATCGGGACAGCCGGATGGTATCAGATGGAAAGCTGCAGCCGGGATGTCGGTGTCGAGCGTCCCCGAGCCGACGTCCAACTTGTCCTTGGAGATGATTCTGGGAGGATTGCTCTTGCTAGGCATCCTGGTGGCGGCCATCTGCGCGTGCAGAAGATGGAAGAAGAAGACCCCAGCAAAGAAAGCCAAAGCAGCCAAAGCATCAGCGAAGCGAGGGCTGGACATGGAGAGCGGAGATAAATATAGCGGTGAGGCTGTAGGTTCTGGAGATGAGATGCAGCCTCTAGTGGGCGCAGCATCTGGGCTTTCGTCTCCTACTGGCTTCCACCTCAGTCGTTGCCAAAGCTCGTGCAAGTTCCTGCCAGCTGCAGGGTGCATCAGGTTTTACAGCGACTGTTCGGCACCCTTCCGAGGTAGCTTCGTTTCAGGCTACGGAGGACGCACTGGTGCTTGGAACCAACCTGCGCGACTCGGCCGCTGTTGGCCAGCCGTCTTGGACTGGAGAAGGAAGAGGAACTGGAGGAGGAAGTTGATGGGGGACGATTCTTCGCGACTAAAAACTCAATGACAATTCACTGGCATTTAAGTAACTGAGGGTTGGAGAGCCTTCTGACTCAGACGATCCAGTTCTGATTTAAGTTCCGTGCAGTGCATGCATGCAAAGCACGATGCGCTGCCAGAGGTCCTTCTCCTTTGCAGGGTCGCAAGTTGGGCAGGGTGGCTATGAGGCTTTGAATCAAGGGGTCCAAGCCCCAGCGGACGGAAGTCAAGCCACCTACCTGCAGCAACTGCGGCAGTGGTTGTAGCTTTGCGGCACTTATGAAAGTAGCTGCGGAAGAGTGTCCGTGGAAGCTAGTGTGCTTGCTACCGCCCATCGGCCCGTATGCCTGCGCTTGCACCTAAGCCCGCCACACTTTGGCGTTGAACCAACATTTTGTGCTGCCCCAACTTCGTTCTGTGGCGTGCG